TCGTTGAACGACCGGTCACGAACCAAATGAAATTAGCCGGTGTACGGGCACGGCGCGTAGACGGCACACGCGGGACACGCCGCAGCACACCGGTCACATGCCACATGGTTGTGCTTGTCTGCTGCTACCCGGACGCCATTATCACGCGCGTACGGGGCCAGCGTAGGCGAATTCGCCGCTCTCCCTAACGACTCCATTTTTTCGGCGCTAAGATGCGCGGCCGCGGTATATCTAGGCGTAACGGAGTGTTCACTCACCGATGACCAGCTTCTGCTGTACAGCCTTTGGTTGTTCGGGCTGTTTTTCCGGGTCAGCCATGGTGGTGGTGTTCAGGTGTTAAGACACGCCGCTGCCGAACCTAGATGTTCCCGTCTTTCTGGTCGTGGTGTTGGTTCCCTTCTAATGTTCCCAACATGGCTGCGCCTCCAGGCGACCGTGCAAACATCCTTCCCGTCTAACGGACTCGCCCATAGGTCGACGCGCCGACCAGCTTCCCCACTCGACCAATCACGCGCCGAGTTTCACGGAACGAGCGTGACGTACTCGCGCGCTACTTCCTCGTTTTCTCGCTCGCACGCGCTCGCGCCAACGTTCCTCGCGCAACGACGATACGCTCGCGCGAGCGAATATCGTTGTCGGAAGTGCGTTACGGGAATCGGCTTTTCCTCCGTCCGTCGGCCACTTACCGGTTCATGGGGTGTTGCGGGCTCGCTGGAAGGAATCCGGCGAGACTCGTCGCTTTTCTCGCGAGAAATTTCACCGGGATGCTACCCGTGAGAACTCGCGCCCCTTCCCTTCGTGCAGGTTCCTTCCTCTCTAGCGGTTCTTTTTTCGCGCGCTTCACCACCACGTTCAAGCGAACGTTTAGGCTGAGAATTTGGCGAACGGCTCGTCTGCGAACCGTTCGCTACCAGCGCTTGTCTCGGTGACGGTTTTCTGAATTATGTTTTTGATAAATCCGAACGAAGTGTTTGAAGAATGAAACGAGTCTTTGAGCTCCTAAGCGTGATGTAGATCATTTCTAATAACAATGTAGGATTCATTTATTTTTTATTATGGAGAATATAAGATTACGGACGTCACGAATGCGACGCTGATAGCGGACGTGTCGATCGTTGAATTACGAGACCGATCATTCTTACCGGGATGATGTCACTTTTATGAAAATATAGTGGAGACTCTGTCTCCGGATATAGGAGTGCAGATGCTTATGCGGCATCGATTTGGGAGTTCTAAACGGACAGCGATTCGGTTTTGTCAGCAGGGTGAAAGGTCGGAAAGAAATACCACATGCGTAAAGTGAAACTCGAAAAGCGTCAACGTTCGTATTTCCAGCGTTTCTTAAACTATACAATATCTCGAAAATACACCTGCCTCGAAACGTAGAAGAAAATAATTGCGCATCTTTTACAACATTCCTCGTTCGCCGGGAACCACGGAATCTCGTTCTCTATTGACACTGGTCTACTATTTTTTGTCCTTCTTCCCTTCTATCAGTCTAATTCGCATGTTTTCGGCAAGATCGACGGACACGTTGTATCCCTTGTCACACGTTGCATGTCGGATAATAAAATACAACTTCGTCGGCGCTAAAACTTGTAACTGTTGCTCGCCTGCTGGAGCAACGGGGCTGATTATATCAACCGATCTCCTCCTTTTTTAGAAATTAAGCTCGCTTCCTATGCAGTCGATCGAGCCGAATCGCGAGAACAATAGCAAACCGAAATTTACCGTGATTCATCCATCGATGAAAAATTAACGGACAAAGGCTAACGTTGTTTTCGATCGTCGGCGACTAGATTGACGAACGTTAAACGTCGATTAAACAAAAACTTCTCGAATGTGGATCCGACAGGCGTAGGTATAAAGCAGCTGCGCGGTTTGCCGTGAATTTTCGTATCCTCTTTCCTCTCTTCCAAGTTCTTTCTCGTTTGTTCTGTTCCGTTGAGCGAAGCGAAGTTAAAATGGTAATGGATAAAAGAAAAAGAGGAGAAACTACTTTGACGTAACCGTATGTACAAAATGGATACATTTAAACAATGATGAGAGATGTATTTTAAAACGATATTTAGTCGTTGGACTTGTAAGTGGCTCCTTTTGAAACTGTAACTCTCTACGCGTCGTTTCTTGAGATTCCTTGGTACAGGAACTGGTAAAAAAAAAACGAATAGGCTTGATTCTTTTGATCTCGGCGTTACAGCGAAATCGAGTGCCCCCGACGAACGAGATTACATTCTTCATCATCTCGGTTTCCTCGTTCTAACACTCCTGGATCGTGGAGCTGCCGATCCGCTTCCGATGCTGAACATGCCTGGCATGGATGCGTTGAAAGTCGGTGCGCTGGTTGTTCCAAAGTTGATGCTTGGCGTCGTCGATGGGGCGGAGAAGTTGAAACCTGTGGCTGCTGCTACAAAGGAAACGAGAAGGTCACCGCTACTGGCGTGATTCCATAAATGTAAATAACAATTATATAAGATATAAATGGTAACCTGGTTTCGAAGCGGTTGCACCGAATTGAAAAGGTGTGGAGGCCGATGGGGCTGCGGTGTTAGTGTTCGCGTTAACGTTGCTGTTGAAGGAGAATGCGCCAGCCTGCTGGCTGGGTTTCTGGTTTGCTCCGAAGGTGAATATGCCAGAGGTGCTAGTGGCATTGGTTGTGCTGTTCGTGTTGCTCGCACTTCCAGAGCCAAACACGGTTGGGGTCGCGTTCGACGTAGCAAACGGCGAAGCTTGACCAAAGGAAGGCGCTTTGCTGTCACCGAATGCACCAGTGGGAGCGAGAACTGGTCCGGAAGCGTTGACTGGTGCACCGAACGCCGGACTGGTCACGCCTTGTCCTGTGAACGTACTGGAAACTGTGGACGCTGGGATCGGAGCAGAAGTGGAGACAGGGGCTCCAAATAGAGGGGTTGGAGCGGAAGTGGAAACGGAAGCACCAAAGACAGGAGCTGCGGATGTAGATGTAGATGCGGATGCTGATGCAGAGGGGTCCGTGCCGAATATGCAAGTTCTACCGCCGAAAGCTTGCGACGCGTTACTTTGTCCTCCCAAAATGGTGCTGCTCTGCGATCCGAATGCCGGAGACGTAACGCTGGTAGCGGCGAAGACTGAAGTGGTTGCGTTAGTGGAAACGATTGCAGAACCGAAAATGGGGGTAACCGTGTTGCTCGAAGTGCTGGGGCTGTTGAACGTGGCCACTGTCGTCGCTGGTGTTCCGAAGAGGGGTGGTGCGTTACTCATAAATGTTCCTGCTATGCCCTTCATGTTCCCTGTCTGAGCTTTCGCTTGGCCAAATATGTTGCCTGTTGCGCCAAAGGCAGACGCTGAGCTCGCGTTAGAAAATATATTGGTGCTTGGTGCTTTTCCAATTCCAGCTTCTCTGGAAGAGGGTGCGTTCGCGACCGAACCGAAGATCGATGTGGTATTATTTGTACTTGTCATTCCCGAAGAAGATCCAGGCACGGTGTTGGAGAAGATAGGCGTGCTACTAACGGAAGTTACAATTACGGTTGGGGTAGGGTTGAAAAGAGTCACGGCGGATGTATTCCCACCGCTGTTGGTTGCGTTCGAAGTCGAACTAGCACCAAAAACTGGTTGACTTTGCGTAGTCCCGAACATGGACCCGATGGCCGCAGCGGTAGTGGCAGTAGTAGTCGCAGCGGTGGTTGGAGCAGGGGTTGCAACGGTGGTCGTCGCTATACCGCCAAAAGAGAATGCTGTTTTGTTGGGTGCAACCGAAGTACCCGCGCCGAAGGAGAAGGTAGAAATTGCAGGTGCTTTGAATGGGGTTGCTGTGGTTTTTACGTTTGTATTGAATGCGCTGGTTGTCGCTGGTGTATTGGCCATAAGATTCAAACCTGTTGCCCCCTGATTCGCATTCAATACAGGAGCTGCCTGAGACTTTGCTGTTAAATTTGCTAATCCTCCGCTGGTTTGCGCACTATTTTCTCCAAAATTTGAGCCAAATACGAAGCTCGCCTCGGGTTTCAAAGGCTGCGCGGTAGTAGGTTTGTTTCCAAATGTGAACGGCGACGTCGACAACATGGCAGTCGTTGGTACCGAGGAAGTCGCCGTCGTGGGAGCGCTCGCAACTAGTGTGCTTTGCCCTTTGCTTTCCACGGCATTAGTCGTGGCCACGCTCCAAGCTACAGACCTCAGCATCGGCGAAGAGAACGCGGTGTTGTTATTGGTGGATGTCATACTCGACGTAGATGATGCTTTCTCGGTTGTGTGTGGCTGGTTTAACTGACCGGCGGGACTCTCCGCGCTCCAAGTTACAGACCTCAGCATCGGCGAAGAGAATGCAGTATTGTTATTAGTGGGTGTCATACTCGACGCAGATGATGCTTTCTCGGTCGTGTGTGGCTGGTTTAACTGACCGACGGGAGTCATGTTTGTTTTCGTTGCAAACGAGGAAGAGCTGGCTGATATGGTTGGAGAGTTGAACGTGACACCGGTTGTCGCTCCGAATGAATTTCCTGAGAGTACCGCGGGTGTCGCCGCTGTGACCACGGAAGGGGTAGAGCTGGTGGATGCAACTCGGTGACTCGAAGGATCAGCAACCGAAGCAAACGGAGTTGCGGACGACGTTACGTTTATTGTCTTAGCTGGAGCTGCGTTCTTGAGCTCGGAGCTTGATACGGCTGAACTCACATTTGTCACGGGTGATGGGAAGATTGCATTACCGGATGTGGCCACGAACGAATTTCCAGCTGAGGTGGCGAGCATCGGCTTCGAGTTGCTACTAGATAACTTGGAATCCAACGAAGATTCTTTGCTCGTCAAATCGAAAGTTACGTGCTTCGTTGATTTACTTCCGGGGCTGGGACTGACCGCGGACGTAGAAATAGGCGTAGTATTCGCGTTCGTTGTGGTTGTTGAAGAATTGAGAGTGGCGCAACTCGAGGGGCACGGAACAGATTTGACAGTGTTCACTTCTTCCGCTTGAATCACCACGTCTGGGTTAATTTTACTAGTTGCTGAAACCAAAAATAAATCAGATCAATATTTTATCGTGGAATCAATGTTGCAAACTTCGTATGAACAAATTGACGTTGTATTGGCGCTAAAATAATCACATTGTCCATATAAGCATGCTCTGAAGTCTGGCTTACTCACCTTTACCGGATATCGCGTCGAACATGCTTTGAAGTCTGGCCTTCATGCTAGTCTGCCTCATGTCGGCTATATCCTCTTTCTTTATCTCTTCTACATCGTCCGTTGTGAATTTCGCTCTAATGTTACCTTGTTCTTCGACAAGCATTCTTAACTTCTCATTTCTTTCTGGTTCTGCTCTCATGAACAACTTGTTGGTCAATCTGCTCGATTCTGTGTCCACGAATACCGGAGCCCCTGCGGTACGAGTTTCTCCGTTGTGCCGGTTGTCGAGATTCGCGTGAACCTCTCTGTCGTGCGAATCCATCTCCAAAGCTTTTGAACTAGTTTTCAAAATTCCCTTCACTGGGGACAATTTTCCCTGAACTGGATCCAAACTATTTCGTGCGTTTAACTGTTTCTTTTCTGTTGCTCCATGATCACGATACGTTACGTTCTTGATTTGTGCTTCTGATAAAGCTTGCACACTGGAATTCGGTACAGATTCCAGTGATTTAAAATGCTTTTCAAAATCTGGCGTTCCGCTCCGAGAAAGATCTCCTGTACCAACAAATAAATAAGATAAGAAGACGAACGAGGAATTTATTCTATATGATACTTACTGGCTTTCCTTTTGATTCCTGAAACTACATTCTTGCTGGAACTGAAAGAATTTAAAATGTCGTAACAGGAAGGCGTTTTGGTTCGCTTCGCGGGTCTGGCACTTTTGTTTTGAGGCGAGATGTCTTCTTCCGATTTTGAGGATTCGTCCCTGCTGCGTTTTTGCTTCGTTTCATCCTGCGTTTCAACTTCATTCACGGTAACACCGCCTATACGCTGCTTTTTTGCCAAGTCGAAGGTAACGTCTTCTCTCGATGCGTGTCTCTTTAACGACATCTCTCTGAGACCATAGGGGACGCTGCTTGAACTAAGGCTCTCATCCACGTCACATAAATTTGATAACATCTTCTGTTTTCCTGGCGGAGAATAACGAACAGCATCTGGTGGAGCTACTCTCACCGTCACTGGTGTTCGCGTTTTTACACACTTCGGGTTTATTACTGGAACTGGACTACCTTGAAGATTTACTTTTGGAAATTGTCCCACATGATATTGAGATTGACGAGTCAATCTGTTGTTTGCTTCCGCGGCATACTTTGTTAATCTACTGGAGAGACCTGGTGAAGTTACATCATTGTACACCCTGAAAACAAAGGCAAAATATGTATTACTTGTGCAAGTTAGACTCTGACATGATATTTTGTCGAGTTGTTTAATCTAAATATATTTGGATAAAACATGTAGACGTACCTTGGATCTATATTATACCTGGTTGATACGGATAATGGTCTGCTTTGTGACAGAGGTGATTTGGATTCACTTGCTGTCGGATGAGCTTTTGGACTAATGGTGGTTCCCCACGGAGACCCTTCCGAACTATAGTATGTCACATCTTCGCCCCGTGTTAAACTACGATGATGTGAATACACAGGGGTCATTCTCTGGGATGTACCTTGACTGGATGATTCATTTTCAAATTCTTCCTTGCTTCGTGATAACAGTGGTGTAGAAGTGACTTTAGAGAAAGCACCGCGAGCGTACAAGGAATGATTAGGGTTGCGATAAACTTTGTTCTCTGATGTTAGCTCGTTCGCGTTTGACTCTCGCGCATTCCGTGAAATTGGGCTGAGCTGCGCTATTGAATCAAATTTTGACGAGTTCCTCCTAGTCGGGTATGGATCGGTGCTAAGCTGATAGTGGGGTCCTCGACGTCTCTCCATCCTAATCTTGGTTAGGAACACTTCGAAAAAACGACGATTTGCAGTTTCCCAAAATATGCGAGAGTACCGATAAACGTGGTCGACGATACTCTCGAATTTCGCACGAACTTCAAGAAAGACGCGCACACAATAATCAAAAAGAAAAGACGCGTGCGGCGACAATAAACTGTCGTTGGTGATTAAAGAATAGCACGCATAAATAGTGAGGAAAAGTAAAATTGTTAGAATAAGGATCGGTCCCCAAACGTTGTACAGGAACACGCACCCACTCAACACACTTACTAACGCAACGACACTCCGATTTCCTAAATCCCACATATTATTTCAAACAAATAACCTCTCCATGTTTGAAAAGAGCACACTCACCGAATCACCGGAACTTTGCTGCGTTAAGTCGAACGACATTATCGACGTAGCAACTACTACGTAACTCTAAATGTTGTCTTTCGAGTTGCGAACGTTCCCCTGGATTTCCCTTAAAATCGTATTAATCGAAAACACGTGTTTCGTTGGCAGTCAAACGATACTGACGATATTCCCGCGAAATTGTTTTCAAACGTTCACCGTAATTGATTCTTACGTTTCTGTTACCGCGAAAGAGCTAGATTGAAAGGTACTCGTGCGTTTACTGACGCCTCGTGTACGAACCGTTCAAGGCGCCACCGTTCGGTACACGTTTCGATATCGTCAGTTAATTTTAAACTGCCAACAAATTCGACGGTTCGACTCTATTTTCAGAAATAATTAACTGCGGTCGACGATAGAGGGCTCGGAAAAACCTACGATGACAGAAATCTCTCGTTGAAAATACATCTACGGAACGTGTCAATATGGGGCCAGCGTTATCATGCAAATGATTCGAGGCGTTCCAAGTAAGTACGGTATTGCGCCTGCGACTCGATGAAGCTGTGAGAATTCGGCGAGACGCTTCAAAGTAATGGAAAATATTTTCTTTTCACTTTGATCGATTGATTATCGGTTTTTCCTTTTCTCGGAGATCAATCGAGTTACGAAATAATCCAGATGAAACTAAGATGTTAAAAGACGTTTTGTAAACGTCACATCTTAGGAGCAATACTGTATTCAATATGATACTATTTCATGAAATCGTCACACGTTTTCAAAGAATTCTTTCAGAATATAATTCTCTCGCTGGGCTAATGCAATGAGGAGGCAAATCGATATATATATGCATCTGTGTAAAAGTTAACCAATTACAGTACAGAACAAGGCCTGTTAGCGTTCGGCTCGAGGTCCTTTTCTAGTCGACAGCAACCGGAAGAACTGTCCGAAGTAAGTGTACAGCTTAAGGTTTAATTACGAGTATGTAGCTGCTTCAAAGATAATAATAACGCTAATACTTATATTAATAGTAAAGAAGAGGGAGAAGGAAAGGTGAAAGAAAGACGCAGTACGTAGGTCACAGCGTAGATTATCTCGCTGGTGCCGACCTTGCGAACGTAATTGGCTGAAGTAACCTCTGATCGTCCAGAATGGCGGTCAGATTATGGATGTCTGCTGTACGACCCAGAGGAGGATACTTTGGACCATGGGCGGAAAAAGGACTTCGTGCTACCGGCGGAACAGGAAATTTACTAAGCATCGGAAGGTGATGTTAACGTACCAAGTTTCGGAGCTATCAAATGTAATTGTGCGATGTAGATACCTGTTATGTAAGGGTACCTTAACCTATAAAAAATGGATGTTTCGATATAAATGATATTGAACATTGCAGTCAGCAGCGCAGTGGACATCATCAATGGGCCCTGGATAGGGAACTTGTGATAGCTATGATGAAGAAGAGTGAATCGATTTATGGAGTACAAAACAATCCAGGGTGGTTTAATTTACAAATAAAAAATCCGCCGCCAAAATCAGAAATTAAAAACATGACTATTAATTTTGGACCTCAACATCCAGCTGCCCATGGAGTACTACGATTAATTTTAGAGCTTAATGGAGAGACTGTCCTTCGTGCTGATCCACATATAGGTCTCCTGCACCGTGGTACAGAAAAGCTGATCGAATATAAGACATACATGCAAGCTTTACCTTATTTCGATCGGTTGGATTATGTCTCCATGATGTGCAACGAACAATGTTTCTCCATGGCTATTGAAAAGTTGCTTAATATAGAAGTACCTTTACGGGCGAAATACATTAGAAGTAAGAAATTTTTCTTTCAATGGATGAGTTAGAAGAAACATAGTTTTCAAGGTTTCTTAAAATAGGTAAAGATTTATGGTCTTTTTTATATCTTTAGCTCTCTTCGCCGAGATCACAAGAATTTTAAATCACATCATGGGAGTTGGAACTCACGCGCTGGATATCGGCGCTATGACACCTTTCTTTTGGTTGTTTGAAGAACGAGAAAAATTAATGGAATTTTACGAAAGAGTGAGTGGCGCGCGAATGCACGCCGCTTATATACGACCTGGTGGTGTTTCTTTAGATTTGCCATTGGGTATAATGGACGATATATATGATTGGGCACGCAAGTACGGCGACAGATTGGACGAAGTCGAAGACCTATTGACCACAAACAGAATCTGGATAGGCCGCACAAAGGACATTGGAGTGCTAACGGCAGAGGATGCATTGAATTGGGGTTGCAGCGGAGTAATGCTACGCGGTTCCGGAATCAAATGGGATATCAGAAAAACGGCTCCTTATGACGCATATGATCTCGTGGAATTCGATGTTCCTATCGGTCAAGCTGGAGACTGCTATGATAGGTAAGCGTTTGCCAGGTAGAAAGTTCTCGCATTTGTCACCAGTTTCTCTGTCTTCGTTTCCGTTTCTTCCTCTCTCCGTTCTCTTCCCCCGTACTCCTTCATTTTTTAATCATTAAAACACATATATATCATAATTACATGTAACTTGTACTGTATCGGTTACCGTCTATTTGTAGATATCTTTGCCGCGTAGAAGAGATGCGTCAGTCGTTGCGAATTATTTATCAGTGCCTCAATCAAATGCCTGAGGGCGAAGTAAGAGTCGATGACGCGAAAATAGTTCCACCGAGACGGGAGGAAATGAAGACTAGCATGGAAGCTTTAATTCATCATTTTAAACTGTATACCCAAGGATTTACTGTGCCACCCGGAGCTACGTATACCGCGATCGAAGCGCCAAAGGGAGAATTTGGGGTTTACCTCGTGAGCGACGGTAGTAGTAAACCGTACAGATGCAAGATCAAGGCTCCGGGTGTTGCTCATTTATCTGCATTGCGTCATATGGGTCCAGGTTTAATGCTTGCCGACATCGTAGCAATAATTGGTACTCTGGATGTTGTATTCGGCGAGATCGATAGATAATTTGCTACATACAACGTCTGTAATTTATGTAGTATCGCCGAGTTTCGTTAGGTTTCGTTGAAACTTGGCTTTTCGAAACGGCAGGAATATGACTGTGAACAAAATGAGGAGGAATAAAACAGCTTGATTACTCTTCCATAAACTTTAGTACGTTCATTCTGTTTCAGAAGTGCGGTTCGTACTTGTTTCGTGGATAATCCTTTGCTACAAGCATTTCAACTGTGTAAGATAGAATTGTTAATAAAATAACTATAAAATAACCCTTTATTGGTGAGACTGGATCGATTTTGATGTGTAAGCCCGGGACGGTTCAGTGTTGTTATTCTCTAGGAAAGAAAACATAAAACTGCGAGTCAGTTTAATTAAAGCAAACATGTTACGGATTGTAGATTCCTTATGATTATCCGAATGCGAATACAATTCTCATGTGGGTAATTAATAAGTGCTCGTAATAGTAATTACATCGTTATCGGAAACGACGGGATCAGATTTAACGGCTTGCGTAACAATTAAATAAACATGACACCGTGAATGATGAGGTGCAGGTTGATGCGATCAAATTTAAATTGCCGCGTGTTTTTCCGTGTCATTTAATTACAGAAATTAAGTAAGAGGTCAAGGGTTTCGTTGTCCGTAATATCGGCGTGTTTCGAGCAAGGGCAACACGTGAGTAACGTGTATATTAATTATTACGTGATAATTACGCGTGAAATCGTTCGCGTCAATGGACGCGTCTATTTACTTCATCGCAGTGAATATTACTTAACGTTTACACGAATCTTCCGCGTTGGGCGTCCTGCTTTCTACTTGTACGTTCCGCGATATATCGCATCTTCCAAATTGTATTCAACGTTTACAAGGTTGCCGTACACAGGCGCGTTTCGAGTTGGGAAATTTTAGACCTGTAACACCGTGTTCAGTCTTGTTGCCACACCTCGACCTATTAAGGTGATCTGTTACGTACCGCGCAGACCGAATGGTATAGTACCTAAAAAAAGAAATACTCGCGTGTTTAACGTGATTAATCGAGATTACGAAGTATCGATAAAATTCAATATACGGATCATCTGAATAATAAGCAACAAAAACAAAGTATGATACCAGTTTGAAAACGATCCATCTAATTACGCATAATTGTCACGTGTACATGTTTAATTTCCGATCCGGAACAACTTTTTTATCCTTTCGTTTTTGCTTAATCAGAAGAATATCGAGGAAACATAAACATCAAAAATCTGCAGATCAAATGGAAATATCCACCCGGTAACGTTTCTCCTGGATACGCAATACCTCGAGGCGCTGGCGAATAAAAACGGGGGCGTTAAAGGAAAACGAGATAATCAGCGTTTGAGTGATAGTCACGAACAGTGATAATAACAATGCGGAAGGTGAGACCACGCTGTCGAGGGAAGAAGGAAAGAACAATAACGTGGAACAAGGACAGGGCTGCAGGTAAGAAACTAGGAATTAAAGTGGGGATCGGATGAGAAAGAAATGGAGGACAACGGGAACTACGATAATGGCGGAGAAGGTGGTTTGCAATGGAAGAATAAAGAGTGAATGATTATAGAAACAGAAAAATTGGTTTGTTACAGAATCGAGCGAGTAGCTGGTTTGCAGCGGCGGCGGTGGCGGTAGCAGCAGCGGTGGCGCTGATGGTGGTAGTCATGGTTGTCGTTATGGTTGCAGTGGTAGGGCGCCGAGCATGGTAGGAGGTAGCAGCGAAGAGGGCGAAAGGGAAAGAAGAATCGGTGGAGCCAAAGAACGATAGGATGAAAGACATGGAAAGAACCGAACCGAGCCGGACCGGGTGGGGGTAATAATGAATCGTTCACCTGAACCGCGAGCCTGCCGTACCTACACGATGCAGTCGTGCGGGAAGAGAGCAGTACTCGTTCGGACGTTCGAGCAGTCTTTCGAACGGCTTCGCAGGGATCGCTTCGTTCCAATACGCTTCGCTCCGCTCCTCCGAATCGCGCGTCTCTCTTTCGTTCGCGTCGCCTCTCCGCCGTGAGTATCGGTTTCAGCGAGTGTTCGTTCTTCCCAGCGATCGGAAAAAACCGGATTGCCACGAGCGAGCTCTCGGCAGAGGTGATAGCCTGTGAATTCGGTCGCGCGCGTCCTCGCAACTTATCTGAAGCGGTATTTTCCATCGTTTTTCCAGTTTCCAGGGCACGGCCGTTTAAACCGGAGCAAGTGGACCAGCGCGCGATCTGCGAACCTGCCCGAGACCGATCCAGTTGGCGCGCATGCGACCGCTATCGTTCTCATCGTTCGATCGGTCCTTCTCTCGTTCGATCGGTTCGTTTCGATCGGCCCAACGATTCACGTTCACCCCGTGGGCTGCCGATTTTTCTCACGCTGTACGCTTTGCAGGCATGAAAGCTCAGTTTTCGGAGAAAGGTGATACATCCGTCGGAGCCGACTAGGCGCGTTCCTTCGCGTAGATCGCGCGCGAGCGAACGAGCGAGCTCGGTATCGTTGTTGTTGTTCCGTTGCCGACGAATCGCCAGTGGCACACTTGTCGCTTGGAAAGGAGAATAGACTTTCTCCTTCTCGTCGTTCCTCGTACCGCCACCGCGTTTCGGCCCGTTCTTCCGCGGAAAGGAACGCCCTCGAGAAGGACGACGACTCGGCGAACGTCGGTAATTATCCTCGCGACTGAGTCGACGAATTCGGTGACGGTGACGAGAACGAGAAGGTGGAGGTGGCGGAGAAGAAGAAGAGGGAGAAGGAGGACGATGATCAAGGTCTGGCCGGGAAGAAGTAGAGAGGCGTATTAAAATTCCCAACGTTCGCGCGGCCACGGAGAGTTGCCGAGAGTGCTCGAAATCGAGAGAACTTGTAAATCGGCTTCTAGAAAAAACCGAGCGGACAGCTACGGATAGAGACCGCGAACAGGGACAGGCATAGATATAGA